TTATTATTATTATTGGTCTTTCTCACTCTCAATTAAAAAATACTTTACGTATTATTACGTATCATCATTGGATGATATTTAATTTAATTTTTGATGAATAAATGAATGATAATTATTTAAAAAATAAGAAGAAAAATTCATAAGTAACGAATGTATTTGCATGACTTTTGTAAATTCGTCTTAATGAAGTATATATATATATATATATATTTTATTTTTTTGTCCAACCGACCATCTTCCATTAACGATTATTATTATAATGGAGTATTATTATATATATATAAGATATTTAATTGATGAGCTCGTTGGCGAAGTCGATTTATCGATGACGCATCAGACGGTGTTGTTGCGTGCGAGACATCACCGCTCGCACGCATTAAATTGACAATTTTTAAACGGTGATTTTGTGTTTAATGATTATTTTTATAAAAATCTTATCTACCTTGTGAAACAAGGAACTAAATAATGGGAAAGGGTAGGAGGGTTATTAGAGTACGTACGTTGAATGAATTTTTTATGAATTGCATTTCTGTGAAAATTCTAAAAAACGAAAATACTATCCTACACGAATTTATAGTCATAATTTTTTAATAGAAATTTATTTTTTATTAAAATAAAAAAAAAGAGCAGGGATTTTGTCAGCACGAAAAAATTTGTTCTTCGATCGAGAAATGTCGGTAGGACGGTTATTTTTTTCATGATTTTCTTTTTCCTTATCTTTGTTAATCATTCTTAGATTAAGCGTTTAAAAGCTTCTCGTCTCGTATCGTTAATTACTTTTCATCATTAACAATTTATATTTTACGACATACGTATTTATTTTTAATCGAATTTCTTTGAATAATCCGACCGGACGTAATCTCGTAAGAGATATAAAACTTTCTTTGGGAACGCTAGCGACATCTACAGTCAAACGAACGAATTAACGTGCGAATGATGGACGCTGCACGAGTCGGTGCGTGCAGCTGTGTGTTTTCCACACATAAATGTATAATATTACTATATTGCAAGTTTGCCACAAGTGAAAAGGTAAACGAAGTGGAGTGAGACAGAAAAAGATTGTTTCTTTGTTCGTTGTGTGCGCAAGGTGTGCGCAGGCGGATAAATATGAAACTTAATTATAATTGTAAATACACGTTGGAATATAAAATAGCGCAATTTTTCAATTGCAATAGAAATTAAGACAAATATTGTAAAATATTTTAATTAATAGAATGTAAATATTTTTTGTCTTCTTTATAATTTTATAAAATATTCTTAATAATTTAAATTGTCCACCGATTTCATCTCCGATTAGCGTAATTTAATAATTTAATTCAAATTCTTGCCTATATTTTCTTTTATTCTAAACTTCCTTTTTACCAATTGAACTAGTAATATAGTAGTATTAAAAATGTTGCCTAATTCGAGTATGATTCTTAAAATAATAAAATAATTTGATGTATTTTAAAAAACGTGTATATTCAATACACAGACGCGAATGACAAGGATGGTAACGATAACGAATAGTGAAAGACGTTTGTATTATTTTTTTTCTTTCTTTTAGTTATAATTTTTTTTCATTACTATATCATAATAATACTCGTTGAAAGACAAGTAATTATTTATCACATCTAGGAGATGCTAAGAATTTTCTTTTTTCTTTCTTTCTTTCGTTCTCTTTCTTGTGAGTGTCTGTGTGTGTTTTCTTTTAAATTTTCATTTAAATTTTGTATTTCTTTTTTATTTACTAATATCATATCGCGATATATTAAAATTTGGCTTTGTATTATCTTCGATAATGACGATAATATATTCCGAACTAACATAAGACGCATATATTGTATCGTTTCTTTGTATCATTGTTACAACGATTCCAAGGATGAATCTACAAGAATTTGTCGCGATTGGTTCATATACATTGAAACATTATTAATTTAATATATCATTTGATATTTCTTCATTTTTATTCATTTTTTTTTTTATTTTCTTATTTATTTATAATATTAACGTTATTATATATATAAAAACGCGCCGTGAAACATTTGCGACACGTCGACAATAATAATTAATAATCATTTCGTAGAGATCAATCGTCGTTTTCATTATTTATTTATTTACTTTTTCTTTTAATTATTAATATTTCCTTTCTCCTTTTTTTTTTTTTTTTATTTATTTTCTGTTCTATTTCTTTCTGTTTCTTATTGGTTTGTCACTTTCTTTATTGTATTATATTTTTCCGACCTTGTTTATTTGTTGGTATATTTGTTCTATTTTGTGTGATTTTTTTTACAAAGTAAATTGTCTAAGAAGATCGTGTGCGATTGAAAAGCGGAAAAGTGCCGTTCGAGATCGCGGCCCTCGATCCCTTCTTCCCCATATCATCCCTCCCCCCTTCTCCCCGATCGAAATAATCCATGCATGTATTTACATACACACATACACATATTCGACATTAGAGAAAAATAATAATCGACTTCGGACAATCCAAAGTGTCTTTTCTCTCTTTAATTTATTTTTCTTCTCTTCATTTTCCTCATTTACTCGAGGTCTAGAAAAAAAGAGATAAATAAATATAACAAAAAGAAAGAAAGAAAGAAAGAAAAAAAGAAAGAAAATCAGGTTAGAAAACCCTCCTCTTCGAAGATAATATTTTAACAATGAACGTAAAATTCGAATAAAAATACACAAAAGAAGAATATGAATTTAAACGAAAAAGAAAATAGAAAAAATATATAAAATTCTAATCACAACGAAGCATAAAAAAAAAAATAAAATCAACTGATCTCGCCATTTTGAAAAAAGAATAATGGATTCCCAATATGTCGGCTACTCGATCGATTCAATTGTGAAGAAAATGAGAGCACGTTTTGTTTGCTCGCTTTTTTTTTCTTATATTAATCGGAAACTTTTGATTTCTATTTTATACCAATTATGAGATGACGATGATAATCGTTATAATTAATAATTAATAATAATAATAATAATAATAGATAATAGATAATAATATTAATAATAATAATAATATAATTTCAACCTCTCGTAGAATTGCACATTGATCGAGACGAACATACGCGCGTTTACGAACATACGCGCGATTATGATGTTGAATGTTCGATTTTTGTTTGTTTGTTTGTTATTTTGTTTCTCTTAAATCTGGCAGTATGATAATTGGTGTATATGTATAAATTTTGTTTTCTCTCTCTCTCTCTCTCTCTTTCTCTCTCTATTACTCTCTCACTCTCCCCTCTCTTTCTTACAATAAAATTCTTTCATTTTCCGCCATAGTTTTATGAGAAAGTTCCGTAATTATTTTGTTTTAATATATATATTTTTTTTCGTTTACTTCGTCATTTTTTAAAATTCACACTAAAATATCACAATCGGCTCTACCTCTTTCTCACTTTCTTTCGCACGAAAGAAAAATCCTTTTTTCTTTATCTAACCATATTTTTTCATTTTCCTTTTCTTTTTTCGTCTAAATTCTTACTTTCTCGTACGGCCGCGTATGACCCAGTAAAGAATATCGTCGATCGGCATATTCGATCATGATTATTCGAATTCTCGTCTTCTTTCCCCCCGGCCCTTTCTCTCTCTCTTTCTTTCTTTACGTCTTTCACTTGTAACTCTTCGAAAATTCCTATCGTGGAATTTCGAAAAATTCGAATTTTACGAATAGTACACATATACATATGTATCTTTTTTTTTTTATATATATATAATATATATAATATATCTTCTTATTTTTTTTCTCTTATTGTTAGTTTATACATTTTATATCAAGCGGCCGCGCGCTCGCGTCATTCTCTCTCTTTCTCTCTCTCTCTCTCTCTCTCTCTCTCTCTCTCTCTCTCATCTTGATCTTTTATATATTTTATTTTATTTTTCATTGTTTTTTTTTATATAAAACAATTAATTACTTATATTAAAATACACGCGCACACACACACACATATGCACGCGCACACACGCACGCACACATATATATATATATATATATATTGATTGATTGATTTATTTATTTATTAATTAATTAATTCGTTTGCAAATAAAACTGCAAATCTTATATATGTCGCGTGTACCTTTTCTTTTCCTCCATTTTCTATTTGTCTTATTTTATTATTTATTAATATGTAATCGTTTGTTAACAATTGCGTATGCCATGTATATGCATATAATATGTATATAAATATACATGGATATATGTGTGTGTGTGTATATATATATATATTTTTCTTTTTACGTACGCATCCATTCGCTAATACGTGTTACTTCTTCAGTATATTCACATGTTGTGTGTTTTGAGTGTTGTGTAGGTGATGAAAGTGTAAAATATTATAGGTCGTATAATAATTTTTGCTTAATATAGATTTTCGTCTTCCTTTATGTTATTTTTTTTGTTTTTCTTTTTTCTTTCTTTCTTTCTTTATTTATTTTTCTTATCTTTAGCAGAAACGAAGAACGATAAGAGTGCACAGAGTGTAACTCTTAACGTTTTTTCAATGCCGGAAGAACAACATGCATGTAATGTGTATGCTGCTTATCCGTGTTGTGTGTGTGTGTGTGTGTGTTGTTTGTGTGTGTTTAACAATGAGCTAAGAAAAGATGGTTCGGACATGCGGCTTTCTCATCTCTTTTTCTCTCTCTCTTTCTTTCTTTCTATCTGTCTATCTGTCTAATTAGAATAAGAGAGAGAGAGAGAGAGATACATATGAATATTATGCTAATACCGATCGTCGATCATAACACGATTGATGCCAAACAAAATGGCGTATTTATTTACTTACTTATAATTAAAAAGATTAAGGAAATGAACATTTGATTTTTATTTCTGTCTTTAGAATTGCCTTGTTAAATCCAATTAAATAATTTATCTAATAATAAGATTTCCTCGAGGTTGCAAGGATGAGTCGTTACGAATACAGTAGATCTCCGTATAATCGAATTCGAGTTATAGGAAATGGTGTTGCACACAAATATGTCTTATATAACACGATTTTTACTTATAATTTTTCTCGAGATAATTTACAATTTTGTTCGTGAGAAAATATTATAGATATTAGATACAAATATATTATGATAATACTCCTTATCCGCAAATTATTCTTGATAACATATTGATCAAAAATTAATAAAGAATAATTCTCGAAACATAAGAAATCGATAAAAGACGATAAACGTAATACTCGATTAAAGAAAATGTAGTTTTTAATAAACCATTTGTTATTTAATATCCTTCTTTTTTATTTGTCATGCTATTGGACTTGAAGAGAGGCTCTGTAACGAGGTGCCATTTCGATTTAAGATACAAATAATAATATCAAGTTCATAAAATTAGGAGAAAAAAAACACTAATCGTAAAAATTTCATTTATTCTTTTGCAACAATAGCAAATTCAATCGTGTGAAGTAGCTAGTGACGTGAATAAAAAAAAAACCCCATCGAATGTAAAAAGATTTTTATTTAGTACACGTACGAGGGGAAATCGTATTAGACCGAAACAATAGTTGCAACATTTTTAGCGTGTTATAAGAATTCTCGTGGTGCAAGAATTCGCGTTATACAGGAGTCTACTGCATGTATACACGTTTATAAGTATATTTTTATCTTTCGCAAAGATAACGGAATATTTAATACGTTTTTCTGCAAATTGTTAGATAGTCTCGAAGACAGTTAACGCAAGCAAGCAAGTAAGCAAATCGTTTCGACACAGCGATATATTATTTTCATTCCAAATACATACACATTGTACGTGCACACACACACATATATATATATATATATATATATGTATTTATGTAGCACGTATACGCTCGCACGATTTCGATCAGTGAACGTTAAGATAAACGTCGAGGTAGATTTCCGTTGGCTCAATCGACGCGACAAAATACGCTTGTCGAAATATGTATACCGATTTGCTACCGCTGTTCTGACTTCTTTGATGTTTTCTTTTCAAAGATAACACGCGTAAGAACGCGTAACTTATTCATATATATATGTGTGTATATGTATATACATATACATATACATATACACGCATTTCGTTAAAAGGGAAGAACATTATTTCGATATATTTTTTTGATTAAAGTTTATCTAATGTAATTTCAAGTACGATCGATGAGACAAGACAGAAAATAGTGATTTTAATTGAACAATATCGGTAAGGTAAAGTCCCTATTTGAGATCGGTAATACCTCGAGAAGTCTGATAAAAAATAAAAATAAAAATAAAAATAAAAATAAAAATAATAATAATAATAATAATAATAATAATAATAATAATATAATAATAATAAAAAAATATTGTACTTTAAGATTACTCGATTCGATTGATTGGTTTAAAAACAAGTTTGTACGATGATCAACGATCGATGATTTTCGGCTAGCTTGCCGAACCGAAAAAAAACAGTTCGACGTCTTTTTGTTATTTTTTTTTTTTCTTTCTTTCTTTCTTTCTTTTAACGGCGAACTTTTACGATAGAGGCCGAGTCTCGCGCTCTCCGAGCTTAAAAACAAAATTCGGACGAGACTTACATAAAATGAGGAGAGCGCGCGTCGGTCTCTGAGGATGCCTCGGACGCTCGCACCCACCCACGCAAATATTCCCTATCTATACATATATAATAATAATAATAATAATAATAATAATAATAATTAAGATCCTTCGTTACGGCGAAGGCACCCCTTTTGTCCCCGTATTTCTAAATAGTTTGCCATGTGCTGCCCGATAAACAAAAACGACGAGCTCACGAGAACGCACGAAGATCGGCCCTTATATAACCGTCCGCCATCCGTCATGGGATTAGACGTTTCTCTTTGGGAAGAGACTTTACTTCTCTCTTTCTCTGGCCGTAACTCTCGTCATCGAGAGAAAGAAAAAATCAAAAAAAAAAAAAGAAAAAAAAGAATGAAAAAAGTGGTAAAAGAAAAAGAATAAGAGAAATAAAAGTGAATGCGGAGAGTAATAGGAGAATTAACAAGACAGGGAGATCAAAAAGTGGACAAGGACAAGACAAGATGATGAACGAAGAAGTAGAAGTAGTAGAAGAAGAAGAAGAAGAAGAAAAGAAGAAGGAACGCGTCTTACGGATGGACGATCGTACCGGAAGGAATCCGTTGAAGGTGGTTATACGCTTTAGCCATCGGTTTGAAAAAGATGGTGGACGATAAAGAGGGTAATATCTCTTCGCTAAAGAATCGCGTCCTTTAGTGATCGTGCCGATATAACGAGGATCTGGCTCTTCGATTCTCGTTTCTCTCGATTCGATTATCATCGTTGGCAGTCGTTGGTAGTGTCGATAGCGATGTCGTTGATGATATCGATGATAATAATGGTAGTGGTGGAGGTATTTGTTGTAGTAGTCGGTGATGATACGACGAGGATATTCGACGTCTTGCTGGCACTGGCATCGTACTAATAATCTGGGGTCGGCTCGGCGATGATCTCCGCCCGCGGACGTTAGAACGGGGCGGCTTTTTGGCCTAGTCGCCGAAACGACTACAGGCCTTTTTCCATTTGCATTGGGTGCACCAGAGATCGCGATGCTCCATGCCGTAAACTTTGCGACACTTTTTCGTTTCACCGCGAATCCGGCGTGGGGAGGATGGTATCTTTCCGGTTGAAACCGTCAACAGGCCCATGTTCTGCTGGTGATAGGCTTGGAATGGACGTGGCGACAATTTGATGTGCTTGATCGGCGTTCCCTGTCGAATTAAACGTACAAACATACGTGATCCCACCAGTTCCGAGGAACGAAAGTGAATGTCTGTTTATATATTGTATATATATGTATATATATCTGAGCATGACGAAGCGCTTTCAAAGAAAACGGATCTAATTGTGGTAGTAGGCATTGCGGCCAAACGAATACACGGACTTTGTGTACGCTACTTACGGGCGATTGCAGGATCGTGAATGCATTGTTTCGTTCCTTCACGCACGGCATCGCTGAACTATTGCTTTCCGTATTGCTCGTATTCACCGGTACTGCTTCCAAACGAAGTTGTTTCTGATACTCCGGATCCTCGTGAGGTGGCCTAGCCATGTCCCGATGTGACATCGTAGGTGGTGAACTCATATGATCAACCGCTACTTCCTGATAATAAAATTCCTCCTCGTGGTCCGATATATCGTCTTCGCCATCGTTCTCATAGCCTTTCGATTTCTTTGGACTGCAAAATATCAATAATCTTCGTTAATAAATGACATTTAAACTTATGCATCAATTTAACTAATGTAAGAATACATTATAATAAACCTACGTATGAATTCATTAAAAACACGTATTTCTGGTAAACACTTGGAACTTATTTAAACAATCTTGTTTTATTATTCTGTTTACATTATCACCTCCAATAGTTTTATTTACTTGTACGGTAGCGATTTATTTACACGCGTTCTATTTGTATAACCGGTCGGTAGTTGAATTTAAAGAACGAAAGATAGGAAGTAGTCTCGACTGGAGAGCACGAAGAATATCTCGTATTTACGAGTTAACATTTTCGAGAGCGGCCACGAGGAAAAAATTTGACGCGAACAAGACGGCGTCGGTTTGTAATTCCTTCTCCATTACACGCGCACAAGTAAACTTGCGTATTTGCGTATATAAATACGTATGCACGTATTTACGTATTAACGCGAGACGAGACGTAATTACATGGCGATATTTTGCATTTGCTTATCTTATCGCGACGGTTCAATGTCAGGTCTGAAGACTATTCCGCGTCCTCGGTCTTACGGGTTAATTATTTTCGATTAAGTAACAGGGCGTATAGTCGCCGTTGCGAGGCTGACAATTTGTAAAGAAACTACTTCTGTCCGCAAAAGAGATGACAAGAGGGAAGGGGGAAAAGGGAAAATGAACTTACCCAAGATGGGACTGGCGCACGTGTTCTTCAATGAGAGGGACTGTAGCCTTGATTTCGAGACAACCTTTCCATGTACATTTGAAAACAACGGCAGCATTGGCCTAAGAATAGAAACAAAGAAATTTTATAAATAACTTTGTAAATTTAATTTGTCGCTTGTGTGTGTGTGTATGGATGAAACTAACAAAAGGAAAAAAGACGAAAATTCATACATAATTGTCTCGGAAAGGAAAGATGCAGCTTTTTTTTTTTGTATTATTCGTTCGATGATAAAATAGTCAAATTCGTTGGGTTAAAAAATATCGATCGGTTAGAACGAGTCTGTGTAAGTGTACGACGAGAGCGAGAGCGTTTAGCAGTTCCTTTGTTTACATCAGACCAACGGCGTCAACGAGAGAGAACGCAACGAGAAAGGAAGGCAACGCTGAGGCGCCGGTGACGACGACGACGACAACGACGACAACGACGACTGTCACGTGCTATTGATCCAGGAACGATGCATACAACCCCCATTTGCGAAGGACGGACCAACTGACTAGTCGTAGAACGAAAGAGCGAACGAACGAATGAACGAACGAATGAACGAACGAACGAACGAACGATAAAAGGAAAGAAAGAACGATCTCGTGCGTGATACACACCTACGTACAAAAAAAAGTACCGTCAGAAAGCTAGCCTACAACACAACAGAGGTCTCTTGGACACAGCAGACTCTGCTAGTGTCATCGGCCGACGTGGAATTTAGGGATTAAAAATTCAAAAGGGAAACTCGAATCGTGCGCGAACGTAGCACGTTTAGCGTGAGAGAGTTATCGGACAGACGATCGTTATCTATGAACTCCTTCAAAAGCTTATCGTCGTTATCGTGTCGATCAATCGATCGATCATTAATGAACAAACAATTACTTTGGCAGAAATCCGCTGTTTTTAAGCTCTTCCTGAGAGTAGATATAAATTGTCTTTTATAATATATATATATGCTAATACGAAGTGCACAAATGGCCGATACCAGGCCGAGGATCTTCTTCCTTTGTTTAATACTTGACCTCTCTTTCTCCTCCTCCTCCTCCCTCTTTTTTTCCTTCTTGCAAATACGAACGAGGAACGGAGTAACAGGTGACTACTCCAATGGTCGATTATAGCGAACCTCTAAAGTCAACGACTTTCAAATCGAATCGCTGTAGCCAGAAACGAGAAAGAGGATAAAAGATGCATCGTGACATCATCATCCCTCGTAAACGATACGCGCTGATCACGTCGTATAAAGCGGGATAGCGATCGCACCGGTCACAGACCTACGTTGCCCGGTAGACATTGCCCTCCATTTGCTTTGCTTTGCCTTACCTTGTCTTGCCTTGCCTTACCTTGCCTTGCCTTGCCTTGCCTTGCCTTGCCTTGCCTTACCTTGCCTTGCCTTGCCTTGCCTTGCCTTGCGCTCAACCGTTCATTCGCCGCAACTTGAAAGTCTACGTGCTCTCTCTTTCCCTCTCCCACTTTCTTGCTTTTTCTCTTTCTCTTTCTTTACTCCCATCATTTTATTTCTTTTTCTCTATCTCTTTCTCTCTCTCCTTCTTCTGTTGCGTTTGTACAACGACAATCTCAGCAATGGTTTTGCTACGATTCGATCTATCTGCCACGTCCCAACAACGTTCGGTCTTTTCGACCGAGATATTCGTACGAGGGGAACGACGCAATTTCTTGCTCGGTTCGCAATAACGGTATCCCAGTTTCGATATATACCTCGTATTCGCGCATTGTGGAAGGTCGAGAAAATTCTACAATGGTGGTGAAATAAAACATTGACCTTTTCTCGCGTCTAGATTTTAGCAAAAGAGATAGAATAGTTGTTTTTAACTGTTAAATATTAATCACACGCTGATTTCTTATATGCAATCTGTTGCATCCCAGTTTAGACATCTATCTTTATATTTTGCTGAGAGAATATATACAAATAAAGTTAGGCCAATTTTTAACGTTTGGAGCAGACAATTTTCTGGCAAAACAAATTTGCAGAAAAAGAAGTTAAAGGGGTAAGTTAAGAAGTTGGTTCACCCCAAAGATGGAGGATTGCTCTATGTTGATCGTTGTGCTGTGTATACTACAGCAGGGTTGCCGAGTATCTTTCGTGGTTGCATCGTACGGGGTATACAATGTTGCCAATAGTGGACTTGAGAAAGAGAGAATGAGGGAGAGTGAGAGAAAGAAAGATAGTCTACGGGGTGCACGCGCACGGTCTGATCGGAGAGTACCGGCCATACCGAGCTCGTCCAAGCGAGTCTCCCTCTCTTCTCACGTCCCTTTTTTCTTCTACGCAATACGCAGCACCGCACGACATCTTCGCGACGAGTTCTAGTAGAGGATCGAGGAGGGATTCCAATAAGCAATGAGTCTCAACAATAACAACAACAACCAGCTCCACCACTACCACCACCTTCAGCGTCATCATCGCTACTTCCACCTCCACCTTCACCTCCACCTCCACTTCCACCTTCACTTCTATCAACCTCTTTCTTCTCGTCTCTAAAGTCGTAAAGTCGAACGACGTATAATTAGAATGAGCACGCGGTAGCACACGTTCGCGTCAAAGCAACATAACCTACAAATCAGAATTCCAGTCAAGGTCTCGGCGCCTGTTATTTTTCTACCTCTAAGATGTTTACCCATGGGAAACTTAAATATATCTATATCGTATATTCCTGGCAGATGTTTCTTTTTTAAAAAGAAGAAATAGATGAAAATAAGAAAATGCGAGAGTTAGTTGATCTTTAATGAAAATAAAATATGACGACCGAAAGTAATATCTAGCAAGCTAAGCTACTACTGTTCTTGGTTACATCAGGCGTAAACTTCTTCAACGACGTTTAAAAGCGTGCGAGAAATTCCAGCTACGTGAAAGCACGCACGAAAGTTAGAGGAAAGTGCTTCCCACACTCTCTGGCATCGGCAAACGAAACGAAAGTAAACGATCATATGAAGAGACCTATACGAATTAATCTAACCAACTGTATATAATACTTATACGCGTATATATAGACACATACATTGAGAATAAGTCGAAAAATCGATTGCACTATTCTCATGAGTATAGTAAATATATATATACGCATGTATATATGTGTATATACAAATATATCCATCTATATAGTAGGACTTAGGGAGAATTTTACGACTGTAAAATCCGAGAAGTTGAAGCGTTTCCGTCAGCGTGAAAGTCCGAAACGCATCAGTGCGCGACGCGAGGGGTCGTAAAAATCGATCCCTAAAGTGGGTATCCAGAGAAACGTCTAGCTACTCATTTCCACGCTTTCTCTGTGCACCCAGCGAACGAACAAACGAACAAACAAACGAACGAACGAACGAAAGAATGAACGAAAAATGAACAAACGAAAGGAAGGAAGGAAGGAAGCAAGGAAGAAAGAAACGATGATGACGATATATCTATGGCTATGACGACGACAACGACAACGACGGTAGAACCAGAGTAATCGTCAGAAAGGGTGAAGGGACTTATAGAAGAGAAAAGAAAAGAAAAGAAGAGAAGAGAAGAGAAGAGAAGCGCCTCGTGGGACGAGAGTGCACTGGCCGGCGATACGCACGCGGCGTCCTCGGCGCCCCTCTCGATGAACAGAGTTTGAATGTGCGCGCGGGCGCACGCGAGTAAGTGAGCAAGCAAGCAAGCAAGCAAGCAAGCAAGTAAGCAAGTAAGCAAACGAGCTAGCGAGCGAGCGAGCGAGAAAACGAGTTAGGTTCCTTCTGGCTTTTGCACACATTCGCGACGTCACAAGCGTCAATTTTCTCAGCGAATGCTTAACTACTATCGTACGAACGATTACGCTTCTGCCATTACTATCCGTACAACGTATCTGCTTTTTCCTCAGGAAGAGAGATCATGAAGCAAGTTGTTTGTTGTGTTCGCTTGGCGACCGCCATGACATCGACTCCTCCAAGGCTAATTTTGGAACACGACTTTCTCTCTCTCTCTCTCTCTCTTTCTCTTTCTTTTTTCTCTCCGTCTTTATTTCTTTTTTCTTTTTTAGTTTAACATCATACCGAGTTGCTTTTCACGGGCGTCGAATGTATAGTGTTCTCTCTCTCTCTTTCTTTCTTGTTAAAAGAGAGAGAGAGAGAGAGAGAGAGAGAAAGAGAGTGAGTAGAAGAAGGGAGGGAAAGAAAGAAAGGAGGAGGAGGAGGAGGAGAGAGAGATGGAAATCGCGAAGAAGGCCGAGAGTGTAATAAAAAGAAATAAATAAATAAATAAAGGAAGAGAGAGAGAGAGAGAGAGAGAGAGAGAGAAGCAGTCGGAGCGAGTCACCATTGGCGGGGATAGGTGAGGAGAGCCAGGGGGTAACGGCCGAGAAACCAAAACAAACCGGAGCTCCCGTGTGTCGGCGCGTACGAGCCGCGTCGATCCGTGCCGCGCGCGTGGTGAGGGTCGGCCGTTGACCCTTCCTTAATACTACCACGCGTTAGGCGCACGGACGTAAGTATATACAATCTACGGGGTGGCGCGAGAAAAATCTATGGGCTCGTCCTCGGTTAATCCCTTTCTTTTTATTCCCATGGTAGAAAATCATTCGCCGTCCTCGTTCGTTTTATTGCAATCAACTTTTTTCTCTGTTGGTATCATACAGTTTCGCGAAATGAATGAAAAAAGAAAAATTATTGAGGTTGGTGAACGCGAACAGATGGATGACGACCGAACGATGACGATGGATGGTACGTGTAAATATGAACTCCTTGTTCGTTTGTTGCTACCAAAGAGGAGAGAAAGAAAGAAAGAAAGAAGGGTGGATGCACCAAAAACGGCGCTAGGCGGCGTACAGGAGGGGAAGAACGGAGAAAAGCAGAGCAGACGAGGACGAGGACGAGGAGAACGGAGATTCGAGTCTGCTGTTTCGCGCCAACACCGGAGCGCCAATTCCAACTGCGTAGTTGCGCACGTCTGCCCGTTCCCCGCGCAATTGTGCAAAGGGTGGAGAGAAAGAGCGAGACAGAGAGGCCGGAAGAAAGAGAGAGAGAAACAGTCAGCAACACACACCGCCGTTGCCGTTGCCACTGCCACCGACGACGACGACGACGACGATGCGGGACTTGCTTGCTT